TAACCACTCAGCACAGCAATTTTACTTGTCAAGTGGAGAGCGCTGGCTCTTTGGGTTAAATAGGAATTTGTGAGCTTAGATGTTGGGTGCAACTGCCTCAAATACACAACATCCGACAAACGGAATTCAAAATGTTGTGGAAGATTAGAAAACTTTGAGAAATACATACATTCTTATTCTGTTTATTGAGTGGCTGTTGAAAATTCATTAGGTTGAATTGTGCCATAATGCACCCAACTTTACTATTTTGCAGGTATATACTTAGTCACTTCTAATTCCATAGTTATTACAGCTTCTTTTATTTATACTGGATAACTTTACCTAGTGATTGACTTATAATCGGTATCAGGTTGATTTTTGCAATCAGTGTAGGATAAGCTAGCTCATCTTAACTGAATATGCATAGAATGTACATGCTGACGTGCACTAAATTATTTCAAGATATAGGTGACTCCAACATAATTAAACTGATGCTTCCTAAATTTGCTGGCTGGCAATAAAAGTACTCATTTTACAATGGATTGCAATAAAATTATTAATAGAAAACAGATTGTTTCACAAACCTTTCAGATCTAAAATATTAATTCTATTTTGAAATACATCATGTTCCTAGAAAAATATTTTAAAATATTAGTAACTATGGCCGTGCAATTACCTAATGCATATACTAAAATGATAAATAATAAAATGAAATAATAAAATAAAAAATATAAAGATATAAACCTTTAATTGTCTAACAAGCTTATCAATTGGTTTGACTCGCAGTCTTGCACATGCATTCATGTATGCTTTGATCACTTCCGTTGACGTTGGACTTGACGCTAAATGAAAACATATATAGATCATTATATAAACTGTTCTTTGTTGACATCCTACATACTCCAGGAAAACCTTGGTAGGGGCAAGAAAAATTCGAACAACTTTTCAAGGACATTCAAGGCCAGGTATCAGCAAATTCAAGGACTAATACTGAAGAAAATGGGATAGTAATCAGATTTGAAAATGCAAAAGCAATTCAACAAAACGTCCGTTTCGATCGAATGTCAAACAATTTCAGAAAATATCCAAAAACAAAAGCAAGAAAAATTTAAGGACTTTCAAGTACTTCTTTACAAATATAAGCACATTCAAGGCCTGGAATTTTTGTTTTCAAATCCAAGGTCATTCAAGGCCTTGAACTTTTGTTTTCAAATCCAAGGTCATTCAAGGCCTTGAACTTTTGTTTTCAAATTCAAGGTCATTCAAGGACTTTCAAGTTTTGTACGAACCCTGAAAATCATAGTCAGCCCAGGGATGGATGTATCCACGGGGGATCAAGCTTTGGTTTAAAATTATGGATAAAAAAGCATTGCCAACACAGCACTTAGCTATGTAGCTACTTTGTTACAATAATGAAGTAAACAGCTTGGTGTGGCATGGTATAATTACTCCCAGACAATTTCATGTTTCAGGAATCAACTAACCAATGCCTAGTGGTAAATGCTATTAATTAAAAGTGATAAAACTTTCGCATACTTTGATCTCTAAACAAATTTATTTCAAAAACACAGTGTTCCTGGTTCGAGTGTTTGTATGGTAGATTGCTTATTCTGCTTAACTAACCAGCATGGGAAGTCCTTGTTGATGCACAAATCCTCACAGATCAGCTTATATTTTTGTTGTGTATAGTCATAAATTTTTGTTGCAAAAATGACACAAAATTTCTGAAGCCTCAACTGTTGTCTGGCACAGAAAAAATGTTTCATCTTGGCATGTGATGCAACTAGCGGGAAATAAGATGTCCAATTCCACAGCCAGGTTGCAAGATGGTTTTAAACATTCCATATACAGTACCCTGGTTCATATAAACATGCCCTTAATCTCGACCTTTAAAATTAGCACAATTGCTTGAGAATATATCACATTTTCAAATGATTTTATCTCAAGATCTCAATTACCATTAGACCAGGGATCAACTGGCTCTACTGACTCTGATACAAGTCTATCATCCTCAGGAAAAGAAACTCGTTGTTTTCTTCTTTTCTTGGTTTGTCTAGCTTGACCTTGACGGGATAATGTAGTTAATCTGTCTTGCTCCAAAGATTCATCATTCGTCGCAAATATCTCTTGTTCGGTTTCATTCATTTCCATTTACACGACAGTTTTTGTGTTTTTAAACACTCATCTTTAACCTGCTTGGCATTTCAACAACACTTTCATTCTTATTATACCAAAAATTTAAAATGAAAATGGAAAAAATCTGTCCATACGAATATTGTATTTTCGAAAAGAACAACACTGCTTCCTTGGGGGTAGGGGGTAGGGAAGGTGGTGCAAATATTTGATATTTGATAATAATAATCATCAGTGATATTATTGCGATAAACATAGTTTGTTTGTGATTTTATCCAAAATAAAAACTTCTGGTCATGAAATTGAAAATAAACATAAAGATATTTTAAATATTGTTCAAACTACTTCGCACAATTCCCACTTGTATAAATTTTTGAAAACTCGCCGAAGCCTGGTAACTAATTAAGAGGTCGCCATTTTTGTTTTGCAATCAATTTTATATTTTTAATTATAAGAAACTTTCTGCTCATGTTTTATAAACACAACTCATTCAGTGGTCGTTTAAGTTCTGCTGAACCTTTCACTGCTTATCAGCCACAGGTATATGTCTTTTTATAGTACATCTCTTTGTATTAGAGTCAATAGACTTATTAGACTATACTATTTTAATACCAATGACCTCGTTTCCATGTTCGCCTGTTTTAGCATGACAAGCGTACATGAAGGTTTAATATATCCCCATGTTTCGAATATGTTTCTCTTTAATCTATCCTTCCTAAATCTTGAGTCAAATAATGAACCTATCCTTCCTAAATCTTGAGTGAAATAATACACATTAATTAAATAATATAACAATTAAATAATTAACAATTATTGGATGAGGTTTTTGTGATATGCGGAATTATCAAGGTCGAGGTAAGCGTTATCAGCCGAGCCGAAGGCGAGGCTGATAACGCTTACCGAGACCTTGATAATTTTGCATATCGCAAAAACCGAATTCAATAATTGTTTTATTATACATTTGAAGAATAATAAACATAGTATTTTAAATAATAAAACAATTATTGAATTCGGTTTTTGCGATATGCAAAATTATCAAGGTCTCGGTAAGCGTTATATTCAATATGATTTCTGGCAAAGCTGTTCAATTAAAACGTTTCTATAAACAAGTCTCCGGAAGTCCAACAGTTAAATTAATTACAAATATAAAAGAAACATATTATCGTTAAGATGTTAACGTATTAAAATATTTACTTGTTAAAGTAAACATTACAATTATGAAATGTACATTCATTTGAAAATTGAAATGTACACTCATTTGAAATGTACACTCATTCAATTTCACGCAACCTAACACAAAATTCAGTTATCTGCTAGCAGATAACTGAGTTATCTGCTAGCAGATAACTGAATTTTGTGTAGGTTGCGTGATTGCGCGATTTAACTGTTAGCTCTTAGCCAATCAAATTGCTTTTACCAACTACAATGTATAATAATATACATAATATGCAGTTTTAGATTTTGAAAGGTGTTTAATTTAAAACACTGTTGTTTGCAAAAACGTAGATGTGTTATATGCACAGTAAAAATCTAAATATCTTATTACATATCTTTTTCTTATATATATAAAGTTTGTATGGCACAATAAATATCTCAGTTGCGATGTTGCTATTGTTGTTGCTTATATATTTGAGAGTGAGTTTGGATTAGGTGTTGAATTAGATTTAGGATTATCATTCATATAACTTGATCTCCAGACACGGCTAAATTTTTCCCTAGGTTTTGACAGAGCTTCGACCAGAGATCCCGCGTCCAGTGATGGCATCATCTGGCTCGACTGGAAGTTTTTCTATTGCAAATCGAACAAGTAATATCTTGAAATATCAAAAATTGTTTCAGGTAAGGACTTGTTCAAAGTGTCTTTATTTAAAAATATTGACTAACATGTTCTTTGCCTCTCCTAGGGAGGCGACCATGCAGCACCTGTATATTTACGAGGTGGTTCTCGAGACAAGATGATTTACAATATTGCAATGGGTTTTTCTGTTGTTGGTGTTGGTGTTACCCTTGCTACCATTTATGCTATGGCATCTGGAAAATTGAAGAAAGCAGCCTAATACTACTAAATATTGTACAGCACATGTTATGGGCTGTAATATGATCAAATATTATGGTTTGGCTCAATTTCTGTATTTATTAACAAAATGAAATAGATTTATGTT